TTCATTGATCGTGACAGATTATCACAATTCCACTATGGCTGTTCATTTTTTTCTGTATTTTTATTGTACTTATTAGCAGACTATTCACAACTTAGCCATTTATCGTTATGTTATTTCGTATATATTATTCCATTTGTAGTTTTCATTGTTGTTCGCACAACAGCAGTGGTAAACCCGATTTCCTTCGCCTACGCACCTTCCCATGTCTTTTATACACACCGTATCACAAGTAAGCTCATGTGTCATTCATATGTAGTACAATCACTACCTTCGATGTGACCACTAACTTTGAAGACCTTCTCGATTCCATACCAGCTGACGAGCCGCACACGCGGTTGCAGGACGCTGTAGTTTAAATCAACCAACTGAACGCTGCGTGGTTCCCTCACACAGGTTAAATTCAGCGGCCAGATGACTTCGCAACTTATACGCCATATGCACTCTGGTAGTTGGCTGCTAGCTGGATGACGAGAAATTCAGTCAGACAAACTTTTTTGCCCATGCAGCAGAGCTTGACCATGCTCCACACGGGCACATCACTAGATAAACTGACCAACTACGCCGGACATATCAGATAATGTTACCCTACCGGTGCTGCATGTTTTACTACCTAACTGGCGATAGTTTCAATTACGAAGTCCGAGAAGCCTGAACGATCCCTATCTGGCGTCGCCAGCTCGTCGACGTGCATATTACCAGACTGTCTCATCTTCAGTGATCTCACGAGGCTTATCTGGATCGCACCGTATTGACTTAAGTCCTAATTAGGACATCACATATTCACATGCGAACATATTCGATCGGACTTCAGCAAGTTTTTCTCCAGCTAAAGAGTGGTATGGCCTTGGCATTCGCTGCTAACCGAAACGGTTACCGCCTACATTATTGATGATTTTAAAAGACACACCGATTGCGTTATATTTGACAAAATGCGACTCTCAGAACATAATTTCTTAATGTCAGCCTTGTAAAAATCCTCCTGGCCTTTGTTTATTTTCATAGTGTTCCGCGTTGCACTGCGACAAATCACTCGAATGTGTGTTAGGTTTAACGTCTACAACATCACAGTGACATTAAAATGATTTAGTTATTTTAGCTTAGTAGAGTTATCAAGGGCACTCCTTTCTTGCAAGACATAAAAATATGTAAATATAGAAAACCTAAAAGACACGGTTTGCCTATCATACTCATTAGTTAGTAGTATATGTTCGGTCATAATTAGTCTACAGTCTAACCAAGCCTAACAAAATAAATATCACCATTCTCAATCGCACGAACGGCAATCACGAAACGTATGTTGCTATCACCGAACTAGTGGCCCTTAAGCACGAAAGTGCATTCCACTGTGAATTTTCCAATAATTGCCGCAGTCGTCAAAAAACCGCGCCAACCAGTAATGGTGACAACTTCTGTTGGCCAGTTACGACCCGGTTGAAGATTTTATGTTATTAACAAGTCTAGGGGCCTCCGTATCCTTGTCGAAGCTGGTGCTGAGGTTAGTGTCGTGCCGCCTCCTAAGCGCCACCATCTCTTGTCTTCGTAATTCTCACTGCTGGGCGCTAATAGCGCCATAATTAAAACTTATGGGTAGCGCCCCCTTACCCACGACCTCGGACTTTGGAAATGGTTTAAGTTTATTTTTATTCAGATTGACGTCCAATCACCTATTATTGGGGCAGATTTCCTGTCACATTTTGGATTCGCAGTCTATTTAAAATAGCGTAGACCACTCGACACTACATCCAACCTATTAATTTCGATATCTCCACATACCAACCTTTAATTGGCATACTCTTGGCCATCACGTGTTTGCACTTCACTGACATGTTGAAGACTACCCGTCCCTCGTTATGCCGTAGTAGTCCACTGAAAAGGTTCGGTCCGCCGTTCAAAATCCCATCGTGATTACAGGGCGACCTGTCCATGCTTATCCACGCAGACCTTACTCAGGAACGCGGCGGATAGCGAAGAATCAATTCAACCGCATTATGAATTTAGTATAATTCTCCCCTCTCCTGGTCTATGGGCCTCTTCACTGCATATGTAATCTTATAAATCCGCTAATGGTCGAAGACTTTGTGATGATTATCGGGCCCTAAACAGAGACATCGTTCTGCACCTGTATCATGTTTCCCATATTCAAAACTTCCTTCACACGCTGACTGGGAAAACAAGTTTTCCAACATGGACTTCATGAGAGTATACCATCAGATACGAGACAGAATATTAACAATCAGTAGGAGGTTAACAACGTTAGAATAAGAAAGCAAAGCGTGGGCTGGTAAGTGTAGATGCGAATAAAATTAGAAACATAACTTTTACAACTTCCCTCATAAAGGCGGACGTCACTTCTACGCACGTCGACCTACACGATGATACTAAATATTGTTCAGTCTCGTTACCGACGACAGAGAATTTACCTTGCTTGCATGGGGTGCAGTCATTTCTCTTAAATAACCCCAATTTCTGATAAAGATTACTAATAATACGCATTTTCGGATTTCTTTTGACTGCCAACTTGGATCCCGTGGTACAGTATTGATATGGTCCGTAAAATGGCAATAAATATAATTATTTACTTATTTAAACGAAGACTGTACTCATGTACCAAGGAGAACTATCAGCACTTTTCCCGATCAACCGATCTGTTCTTTTAGATACCCCGAGAGTTCCCAAGAGCAGTAAGGTGACTGCGAGGATGAGAACTCGTAGGAAGAGGGCATATGAAACATCACAACTGCAGGATGAATTATAAATGAACCATGATCGATACTTGGGGGCAGTTAATCTACAACAGAAATTTGAATTTAAAAAAGGAGTTTGTAAATCTTCCTCGTCTTCTTATAGGAGATAACTCGGAAAGCCAAACTCACGAGTTTGGGAATTCCCAATAATAGCGATTTGTTTAGAGGCTGATGTGAATAAAATGTCGTCAAACCTGAGTACAGTGTCTCAGATGACATAATCTCTTTTAATGACTTAATAAACTAGCCATTTCAGTCAGACGTTTAAGTAAATATTCTGGAAGAATTCCGGATCGGTGAAAAAAAATGATAACGTCGGCCCACTGCGTCTGCAATAATTCAAAATTATGCTGGAAAGCAAGCAGTACAGCAAAGTAATCCAATAAAAAGCTAACTTTCAGCACTTGCATAAACGGATTCTTTTCAATCGGGATACTCCGGACCGGAAGCGCTGAAACGTTCCAACTTTCTTTTGGTAAGCTACACATCAATATCGATTCTATATCAAGGTTTAGGCTATTTCAACATCCCAAAGTTGATATAACTATGTTTTTTTTTATAAAAAAAAATAGTGTCCAAAGGAGCACACATACATTCCCTTTAATAAACCAAAGATGACTGAACTAAAAGTGTCAGGAAGCCATCTGGTCTAGCGCTTATAGGTCCTTGAACATTTCCCTTTTAGGTGGTAAGTTTGTTTGAATTTTGCTGCGTTTTTCTTGCCGCCCTTTTTGAAATACACACGATTTTCTGAGTGTAACGGCAGGCATACGAAATCGGGCGTGACTCAGGAAAGGGGCTGTCCTTGAGTGATTAACCAGCGTACATATTTTTGTTCCTCTTCAGGCGAGAACGTCGCAGAGTCAACATCAGAGGTGAAAAGCATACCGGAGAAGCCGGCGGATTGAGTTATTTGCCCCCCATCGATTCATTTTTTCCCTGCCCTCACTCGTTGACGTTAGTCCTTTCGTTCTACCTTTGTTTTCCTTTTCATTTCCCCTTTTTTGTTCTATTTGCAATAAACCTTCGTTCCCACCCTTATCTCTGTCGTTTTATGAATGTCTGGAGACGAAGTGAGGAGAATGCCTGGATTGGCTGATAAGAGTATCTCAAGTTAACCTGCAGCTGACGATCAGGAGCCCGATTTAGGACCACAAGAATTCCACTCCGCTGAGAATCTCAAGCCAGAAACTAGCAGGACTGCT